CTTAACATTTATAATGATAAATGTTTTCGCCCAACTTACATAATTCTTTTTAAATTATAGCCTGCGTGTTATTATGATGTATAACCAATATTACTGCAAAGTTTCATTAATATCCGTACGGTATTTTTTGCGTGAAAAAATTACAAACATTTGTCCATACTCATAACATTTTGCGTTAAAATATTAATAAGATATAATAGTGTACGTATTAATAATGATTAATTTTTCTGTGGTTTTCCTTACTGAAAAAAATAATAAAGATGTATAATAGTGTATGTGATAATAATGTTTCAATTTTTTCTGTTGTTTTCCTTACAGAAAAAAACATAAAAAGTCATTTAGTTCATTCAATATCATTCTCAGAAAGCATGACCTATCTCATTTCATCTATTTCAATAGGTATGATGTCTGTTTGTTTCATTTCTATTCCAATTACATAATAAAAAAAAACAAACTCATAAAAAAATTGATTCTATAAATTCTGTCACCTATAGAAAGTTACATTATTATCGAATAAAATAGACTGTTTTCAGCGTAGTCAACGATGCGAGATACGGCTGTGCTTCAATAAATATAAAACTTTCATTAGGAAATTACTTGTCGGGTAAAGCCTAAATACTCACTAAACAAAACCGGATTTCCGGGGAAACTTTCGCAGAGTTAACTTTGACTTTTGTAGATCTTTTTTACTATTTCGTACCTTTACACAGTTATTTAGGGATATAATCAAGACGAAGGCCAGGTAGAGCACGGATTTATCTTAACCACGTTATTAAAAATAGAATTATTAAAAATATATAAAAATATCATACTAAATTGATCACGTGGGTTAATTGCAAATTTCCTTCTGCGGGAAAATTCTTCAGGAATACTAACTACCTTTCGGCTTGGTGTGCCTGTTAATAGGAAAACAAAGTATGATATCTTTTCTATTTCTATCTGAAAAACTACTGAACATAATTTCATGTAGTTTTCATTAATCAACAGAGGAATTGCTTAGTTCTAAAATTATAATTATAATACACAATTCATAATTATAAACATATAATAACGCCACCTAGTGCCGAGCTAAACAAATCTTGTGTTATGAGTACTAAACTACTGATATAAATACTTAAACATGTACATTTTTTTGTAAATACATACGTACCTAGTAAACACTCAGACCAATACAAACAATCATACTCATGTATACAAATGTTTATACTGTGAGAGCAATTAAACCAACATAAGTACGGCGGGGTGCTAAATCGCTAGAATACTGAGGGCATCTAGAATACCTACTTATTTAGATGTGTTTACGATCGCATATAGCCATTTAATATATTTAAAAATAAAATAATAAAATTCAAATTTGGAACGTCACGCATGGAACATCGATGTTGTTTTGTTTAAAATTGCATACAATTTTGCACTTCTTCTGGAACATTCCGTGGCATCACTACTAATATTCAGTATACAATACATTCTAAATATTTTTTATTTCAATATTACAACAACTTAAACATTGCAATGTTCCTCCACAAACATGACATTGAGAATTAGATGTGATGGCATTATTCGTCCAATGCTTGTGGTTGGAAATACACATCCACACGAAATGCTGAGGTTTTAATTTCCGTACTCTAGTTAGTAATTTATTGGGTAGAGTATTGCAGTTTAGTTTTGGCATATAATAAATATAACAGTACCTTTTTATCATTACACTAATAAGTGAATAAAAAAACTATGTAAAATTGCACGGACGGATGACGCACATTTATATAGAGAGGGAGTACAGAACGCTATTATTTTTTTAATTATGTATTAAAAATACATTAAATGAATAAAAAACACATTACACACATTATCATTGCATTACACGACCAATAAGAAACCATAAATGACAAGTTGTTAATTGTCAAATAAGCGGATCGAGGTTTGTTTCTGTGCTGTTAACAAAGTAATCATAACTGAACTGTAAACGGTTATAAGGGGTAAAAAAAATAAAAAACTTAATATAATGAAATCAAGAAAACAAATTAATAAGAGTACTGACCATAAGACTGTAGAAAAAAAATATATATTAATAGAATTTATAATTTTAATAAATTATGGCCGATGACTGACAATTCACTGAGTATAACCCAAAGTGTCAGAGAGTAAGACTACCGCCTTCTCTTTCATTAGTTCGGATGGTTGTCGTTGTTTTAATCACTGGAGAATCAGTTTAACATTTTTTTTGTTTAGACCATATTTGAACTCTTCACCTTTCAGTCTAAGTAAATCACGCTATGAAAGTCTCATCCGTATAATTAGTTTTTAGCATAAATAAGAGAATATCTATTTTATATTATTAAAACTTTAATGCACAAATACACTAAAAAAGTTCAAAGTGCGGACTTAATTAACAACTGAATATATTTTCTCCCAGTCAACTATAAAGCATATAAATTCATACGATTTTCAACAATAAAGTATGGAAAGAAATTACATTGTTTTAGTGACAAACATCTTGATAAGGTACCTACTTACTTTACTTAATAAATCGTATTTTAAATAATGCGGCATAAATATTTCGAATTTAAAACATTGTTCACTGCGAATTATAGTGATTAAAAAAGTTTCAGAGACAAAATGTAATTTCCTAGACTATTTAATTAGCGAGACATTATTTAAGAAGTTTCATACATTCCTTGTTTCTAATTTATTATTTCCATTATATTAATGAAATTCCATAATAGAATTGCGAGTATGTCTAAGTACTAATAATTTAAATAAACTCATTTCGTTCCTTTTAAATTACATCATTTTAAGCTAACGAGTGCCCCTATATGAGTTCAAATATTGAAATTGTGAGTACATATAATAATATATTGCAAAATTCAGTATTATCTTGTCAATATTATAATCGTGGAAATCTATGAGTATGGTTGGATGTTTGTCACTCTTTCACGCAAAAACTACTTAATGGATTTTAATGAAACTTTACAACAATATAGCTTATACATCAGAATAACATATAGGCTATAATTTTAAAAGATATTATGTAAATTGGGCGAAATATAATGATAAATGTCATGTAGGTGTGCTGCAGACAGTCAGCGCGGGTCAGCTAGTTTATAATAATCTTACAAATATTATAAACGCGGTTGTCGTGAGAGGATGTTTATTACTCTTTCACATAGAAACTACTGAATGGATTTTAATGAAACTTTACAATAATATAGTTTATACATCAATATAGCTTATAGGCTATTAATTTAATGCGGGTGAAACAGCGGGCAGTACTAGTAATTAATAAATACTTAATAACTTTCTATGAGCATTAAATGCGCGCCTTTTGGTGCGAAAATTATTTCCTATCTCCGATTTAACTGAATACCGTTAAAAACTGGAGACGATCCAAATCTTTACTCCTTATATATTTTATTACTGTCGTTGGGAGAGGACATTACTTTAGAACTGGTATAATTATCTTATTATAGCTAAGTATACTCCCAGTTAACGATGGGAGTCTGAATTACGATGTTATGATGGTATAGATAAAGTAATGGATTATATCTATCCCGTTATAATATCTTAATACTACATTTAATTTATGTATACTAAAGAAAATATTATATTTTTTTATATGATTTAATTAATAACTCATTATTGTTATGTTTCATTTGCAGATTTTGCCTAGCAGAAGAGGAAACACCACTACACATCCTATGCGGTTATAGCCCACTCATGGATAAACGAAATATTTCCTTTAAAAAAAAAAATATATATATATATATATATATATATATAGATGACAAAAACCATCTCTCTTAAAAATACCCATCGATTCTTGTCTAGGTAGCGAACTTTGAAGAAGGGCTAGCACAATATATCTATGGCAGTGCTATAGTTAGTTATATATATTAGTTATATAAATATACAGTTATATAGTTTTAGCACCTGACAATAGCCCAAAACACTCAATAAAAAAATGCCTCGACCAGACTCCTCTCCATCCTAAGATTGCCTCATAGAAATCGCTATTTAGCGATAAGATCGCTCATGGTTACCTCTATCTTATTGTTAGTTATGGTTCATATATATATACGTATTCGTTTACGTAATTCTTTTTTCTAATAGAGGAACAATAAAGATCATTTCATTAAAGTGACAAATAAGCAGCAAGCCGAACAGATAACAAATATCAGTCACTTATGTAACATTAATAGCACAACGATTGATGTAAAGGTATTAATCATAAAATCTTTATCACAGGCTGATGCCCGTGATACACTGAGTGCATTGCTGTTCCTGAAGACTAACGTGTTATTTTCATTATTGTTTAATTAATGTAAGATTAATTTTGTCGCTTTAAATTTATAACAAAATGGAATTAGACAATTCTTACAATTAATCTTTTCTTATATTATTAAGACGTTTTATCTGCCATTTTTTGGGAAGATAATGGACGTAATTGATTTACTTTTTCTTAGTTTTGTATCTAGTATTCTCAAACATATTAAATAAGAAACGAGTGTATTCATTCTTGTACTTAACTTTCATTGTTATCGATAGACTTATTTCATTATACAACGTATGTTTTAATTAAGAAACAAAAATAAAAAAAATTTGGTAAATTGTAGTTTTGTTTATCTTTCTTACTATAATAACATATAAAATTTATATGTTAATATTATATTATATATTTACCATATATTTACCCACCTGACACTAATAGCACGAAATTCAGTAAAACTGGCAAATAATTCCTTTAAATAATTAACCTGCAATAATGTTTAAGTTGTAACAATATTTTTTATATAAGATTAATCATATAAAGAAGATACGTAGTTAAAATTTCGAGTAGTAGTTATTTTGTAATTATTTTCATTCTTACGCGACTTTACGTTAAACTTTTTAAATATTTAAAATATCACACCACACTTTTTTATTACAATTTCTAACAATAATACTTATAATTTTTATTTATTCACTATTATACGTAATAATAATTTTATCATAGAAATACATACCAAAGTGATGTAATTCCAGAGTGAAACTTTTCAGTGAGCTCGCGTACCACAAGTCCGCGTAGCACGTCTACGCCGTAGCGGCCGCGAGGTGAGTTTGGCTCGCTAGCGGCCCGCTACGGTTTTATCTACGGAATATGGCGGTGACGTCACTTGGAACGAGATCAAAAACGTGGGATGAGTCGTTGTTTATGGTGGTCAGTTGTGTACAGTTACGGACAAATAAAGGCTGTCAATTTTTTTTATATTTATATTATTTATTTACCTATTACGATCGTCGTGGAAATCTTTGGGGGAGGAAATTTGTTCAGAATTAAACGTTTTCTGGGCTGAAATGATGATAATGATGATGATGATTCACCATTACTAGAGACTGGCCCCGCTTCGCAATGGTTCACTTTTATTATTTAAATATTTTTCGGTAAACAAGTAAAAAGTAAAGGTTAGTTTTTTTAGTAATTTCCGGTTACATTATAGAATTTTTTTAGGAAGATTTGTAATTTTTTCTAGTAATTAATGTAGTCTATATTAGAGACAATATAGCATTCTAAAGGTGAATGATTTTTCGAAATCGGTCAAATAGTTTTTGACTTTATTTATTTAACGTTATCTATCAGTAAGCACTATAAATGAGACATGTTACAAACATTAAAAAACACATCCTCTTTATGATATCTCAAATTCCGAGAGTTGTGACACGGGTGTAGGTTTAACGGGGTTTCCAATGCACATCAATACTAACCTTCAACACTTACATTATTCTCCGTTCAATGAAATCCGGTATCATACTGCTAGTGTAATTAATTTGACTTTTAGCAATATTTTCTTTTCCGTAAAATGGAGATCTTTGGGGGAGGTCTATGTCCAGCAGTGGACGTCTTCCGGGCTGCGATGATGATGAATACCATAAAATAATCTATAAAATCTGGGGGAAAGGGATTTTACACTGGAAACAATTATGTTAAATTCCTGATGAATTTGCCACGATGAGCTAACTGACCTGACCTCATACTCATCTTGTAACTGTCCACTGGTACCCCGGCAGCGTATATTAGCGTAGGCGAGTGCACCATTATATTATCATCACTTAAAAAAACTATAAAATCTATATAACTGTACTTCTTTTCAATTGTGTTTGACCTTGCCATGTGCTCTCGGGTGTCTTATAAAAGACTTCAACGATCACCGCTATGACTAACGTGTTAAATATCTTAATGGATTCGTTAAATGAAAACATTAATCATTTATTAATCGTTATATTATTGTTAAATCATAGATGATATGGTTAGTTTCGATTCGTTTATCGTTTCGTTATATTATTGTTAAATCATAGTCTCGATGGTCTAGTGGTTTAGACTGCTTTCGATCAGATGGTCGCGGGATCGATTTCTCGCACGTTACAAACATTTGTGTTCATGAGTATGATTGTTTGTATCGGTCTGGGTGTTTTATATGTATAATATGTATGTATTTACGAAAAAAAAATCTATATATTTGTATCAGTTATCTAGTACCCATAGCACAAGTTCTGCTTAACTTGGTACTAAATGGCGCTATGTGAATTGTTCATGAATATTATTATATTATTAGGATTAATTATATGTAAAATTTGCTTTATTATATAGCTGAAGATAATGCTACTACATATCATATGTGTTGTAACCCACTCATGCATAAATAAAATATCTCCTTTGGAAAGTTTACACTCCATCCTAAGGAGATAAAAACCATCGCTCTTAAGAATGTCCTTCAATTCTTATCCCTGATGGATCTCGGTAGCAAACTCTGAAAAAAGCGAGGGCAATGATTCTATGTAGGTCGCAGTGCTACTGGTCTAAGTACCTGAGAATAGCCTAAACCTCCCAATAAAAAAATTACTTTATTACAATGTCCTTTAAATAGTATGTCAATATAATATTGATTTTATTAAAAAAAAATTGTGAATATTTATTTTATAATTACATCAATGTACGCAATATGTTTCTAGAAATTTATTAAAACTTAAACACTGAAGCATTTTTATTAACTTATTACGCAGCTTCATCAATGTAATGTCTATCTTATGAAGATCGACGTATATATATATATATATATATATATATATATATATATATATATATATATATATATATATATATATATATATATATATCTTAATATAAGATCTTATTTAATATATATAGAATATAAGATCTTATTTAAACGCATGAAAATTAGAACCCCTTTTCTTAAGTTGGGTCATAAAAATTGTGATATCATTGAATGTTGGTTAGCTTGTAGAAAATGCCATATGGCATTAAGCTTGCCAATTGTACATTTATTTTAGACTAGGTGAGCCCGCGGTTTCACCCGCATGTAATTTATACACTGCATGTTATTCTGACCTATATTACTGTAAAGTTTCATTAAAATCCGTTTAGTAGTTTTTTCGTGAAAGACTAACAAACATCCATACTTACAAATTTTCGTATATATAATATTAATAATAAGATAATGCAACAAAGGTAAATAAATAAATGTATAGAAAATAGACAAAATTTAGATATCTACCTTATCCATCATTAGACATCATTAATCTAGTCATATTAAATGGACTACTAACATAACTTAATAAGGTACCTATTTCTTTGGCACGATGCCAAGGTAGAGTGAATTAGTACACCCCCGCTAAGCAGTGTAGGGTTGTCACATAGCAACACATAAATTATTGCAACTATATCTCTGTGTGCCAAAATTTATTTGTAACTCTACCTTTTTATTGCATGCATTACTATTTGGCAAACTTACAATAAGTCGTTACTAACATTATATTTAAAACTTTCGAGTTTTATTTCGTATGTATTTTAATTTATTTTCTACCCTTGAGATTATGTAATTTTTGATAAATAAATAAATAAAACTGTGACTTATTTATGTTATTTTCAAAAATATAATTATAAACTTTGTTATGAATCGCCAATATGAACCTGTATAGTGTATATGCATGGGATAACGTTGATATTTCTGGGATATGATGACCATTCAAATCAAATTAATTCGATATCTAGGGTAGATCTATATATATTATGATAAATCAGAATCTGCCGTCAGTTCAGAGCGCTTTCAACTAAGAAAAATCGACAAGAAACTTAGAACTCAGCTTTTATTCTTATCAAATAAACTTTTACCTGATTACAGAAATATAGATTTATTTTTAAACTCAATCAAGGAGAAGGTAATGACCACCAATGTATGGGACTATATGTAGTGCGCTGGGGTCGGTGCAGCCAACGATGGTGATAATTAAAGACGCAATGTGAATGTATAACAGTATATTATAAAAATATATGTCGTAACTGTAGTAGACGGTAGATTAAGTATCTATTATGTGAGGGTAAGAAAATAAAAGTGGAATATGTGTTTATTGCTTGCACTTGTAATTATTTCGTTCCCTTTAAAATACTACAGTAACTATGTAATCGTATTGTAAAAGGCAAAAGGAAGAACAAAACTATAGCAACAAGACAAAATTCGCATAAAAATATAAATATATAAAAATAAGAAATGTGCCAGCAAGCGGCCCGAATGTAAGGAGTCCTGTGCAACCAGTATTTACCACCTGAAGGGACGTAGGATTGTTTACCATTACTGTAGTATAAAAAAATACGAAGTCTAATACGCATAACCATAAAACAAACCTCAATAACTATATACATATTAAAGATTACTTCTTTTAAACATTGTATAACAACGAATACAGGACATACACTGTTTAAATATAAATACATAGGTAAAATGCGCTCACTTTTTAAATAAATACTGAGTATTATTTCTGGTAAGTTATTGGTACAAGTAATTAACTAATAAGGAAAATTATAAACATAAAATTATTTTGACAACCCTAACAGCACTATCTATCAGGTTTGTCATAAATGTTTATTGTTAAAAATATTGAAACATCATTTCATATAGGGACGATCAGCAAAAAAATTCAATAGTAATGTGTTTCTTTTTACTTTAATATGTAAAAAAATGTTAGATGGTATTTTTTATTTTTCTATATTAATTACATATAAATGTATGATACATTTCAGTTATTATAGTATATGTAGAATTTGTGTATTGTTTCAAACACAGTTATAAATTATTAAATTAAATTATTATGTTTTGATATACATTTTATAATACAATACCAGTTGATCTTTGATCGAACAGACAAATAAATATCTATGTGTTAACAGCATATCTATCAAAATATATTTTAATATAATAACTGATATAAATACAAAGATACATTTTTTGTAAATACATACATAATGCACATAAATGGTACCTACAAACAAACATAATAACAAATACAAATGTTTGTATCGTGCACGGAATTGAACCCGCGACCATCGGAAGTAAGGCAGTGGGCTAAAACTGTTAGACCAATGAGACCGTCATATGTATATAGAATATGTATATAGTGTAGTTATGTTTTACTATACAACTTCAATTTACTTTGAAACTATAAGGCGTTGTGTATTTATGGTGTATAAAAATTAATTAGTTATGTAGTTATATGATTATCGACAAGAATTTTTAAATATAAAAATACCTTATTTATATATTTTTAATATTTACTTCTTTCTTCAGTGGTAAAAGCATATAAAATAGGTATCAAGAATATCTCGTATTTGAGATGTGTCTGTCAATCAGAAATAATTGCAGTCTGCACGTGACAATAACAAGTCGTTTCTTCAAACTATATGTTTGGAATACATGACACATTTTTAAACTTTAAGGACGATTCATTTTTAACTATAAAGTATTTTTGTTAGTGGATGACAATGTTACTCCCGCCTACATGGGAAAGAACGAGACAGTTCACAATTATCTCAAATACGGCTACCTAAATAGTGTACCTACACTAATTAAATTGTCTGGGATAATATAGATATAATGAAAAAAAATATCTTAAACTTCAATTTTATAATCACATTTTTGTTCAAAATCCCAAAGATTAATAACCTAATACTATTTATACGTAAATTATAAAACTTTTATGGAGTAAGCAGATATAAAGAAAAAAAAATCAACAGTCATATAATCTTCATATTATATTGCA